CCCATTCATTCACGGCATTTCGTGCCCTGAGTCAAAAGGTAGGGACATCTGGCCCACGAGACACCTCAGCCGTGACCCAGACTGGCTAGAGAAAGCAAGTGGATTATTGCTCTCTCTCTCTCTCTCTCTCCCCCTCTCTCTCTCTCTATCTATCTATCTATCTATCTATCTATCTATCTATCTATCTATCTATCTTTCTGATGATTGAGGGAGGGAGAAAGACAGACAGAGAGACAAAAAGTGACGGAGAAATAATTCACATGCAGTTCTTCACGACTGGGGGGAGGGGGTCTGCACTTGATCACTGGAGGCAAGCGAAAGTCTTTACAGAATAAAAGTTTATTGACATAGATTTTTAAAAAGAACAACCCCCCCCCCCCCCCCTCCTCCGCAAAAATGATTAAAAAATCCCCCAAAGACAAAAACAAGAACAAAATATTATATCCCAACCTCGTTGACAGTAGCGAACGGAAGCTCAAGGAAGACTCTTCATTCTTCATAATTCTTACAATCAATGAATGACATTGCGTTCGAGGGGGGGACACGATGGTTGAATGATACAGACCCCAAACAGGCTAGCAAGCACTCAGGTAACCGGGCAGGCAGGCAAGTAAGAGGAGAGTTCACGTCTCGCGAAGAAGAGCGTTCATAATTTTAACTCTCTCGAGCCCAAACCTCACCTGTAGAACGCTGTGACAAACGTAAAGAAGGCGCTGGGGGTGTCGGAGAGAGGTACAGAGGGAGTTAATAACAAACAGGGTAGAGCCATAGTGTCCTCCCCGTCACGGTCCTCTTGCTATGATATCTCTATCTACACGTCATGTTGGTTGGGGGACTGCTTGAGACAAACGCAGAAAGCTACACACATACTCACACATACACACACACACGGTGAAGAAGTGCGTACGTGCGTGCCTGTTGAATTTGGGCTGCGGTTTCTATTTTGTGAAGCTCAGACGTTCTTTTTGTACCATATTCTCATCACTATCCTTATCATTATTACTGACATGATGTCAGACTTTTATGGAAGTAGCCTTTTCTCAAACTGATCATTACAGAAGTGCACAAGGAGATACGTTTCAAGTTACATTTTCGACTGGAATTCTGCTTGGATTAAGGCAGCGATATACGTTATAGCTGAAACTTTCGTGTGGATTAACGTTATAGGAAGGTTCGAGGAAAGGATTATCTTCAACACAGATAAGTGTGAGGAAATATTTATTAGGTTCTATAATATACATGTGATGGGGGTGTTACAGACATTCCTATACCCGTGTCTGTTGCGTGGGGGTTAAACGTTTCGCTGTCGCACTCACGGGACCTGAGTTTGATTCCCAAGTGGGCTATACGTTCTTATACTATCTCTGACCGTCTAGCAAGCGGGGAATTGTTCAAGTATGTCGGTCTTTCTGCCGGGATACTGTATTCTTTTCAACCAGTGACAGGCAGGGCCAGAAGCCTGTCGCCCAAGTTATCTTAATTGTGTCGATGGGGGTGTAAAAAACGCCTAATTCTTTTATTTTAACTTCCTTCAACACCTCGCTACCCTAGAATTACAAAGTTCTATCTGCTCAATAGCTAGGTCTAATTTTGAGACATTTGAAGGCAAGAATTTTGATTTCACAGCGTGTTGAGCTTTTTCGAAGGCAATTCTTTGAATATCTTGATAACGAATCCGAATAATCTTACATATCTGACCACATAGTCTTAGTACCTAAAAACGGCCCAAAATGTCAGATAGAACTTTGTAATTCTGACGTAGCGACATATAACTCACGACAGTATTGCTCAGTGGCAAGATAGTTGCCACTCTTTTGATATATTATTTTTCCTCTTACTACTAACTAAATCTAGCACTCCTTGTACTGTTCAGTTGTTGTCCATATATGAGTACTGATAAAAGTAATAACAAGAATAACGTAGACGATCGCAGTAATTATTTTTATATAGCCTAATAAGGATAATTTAATAGTAATGATGAACGAAGATAATGATAGCTAGAGTATTAACAGCAACATAGATACAGAAAAAATAATAAAAGCAATTGCAACAGCAATGACGATGACAAGAAGAAGAAGAAGAAGAAGAAGAAGAAGAAGAAGAAGAAGAAGAAGAAGAA